CATTAGTTAACATAAACTGCCAATGAAAAATTCTTCTGAACATTCATTAATCTTAGGTAATTACAATATTTAAAAAAGTTGCAACTGTGTTGTTTAATGAGCTAACATGAACTAAGACTTGTATTTTTTAACAAAGATTAATAACTTCTGTAGCAAATGTAGCTATTGCTCATTGTGAATGTTAATGCATTATCTAAGGTTAACTAATGAGGTCTTATTGTAAAGGGATACCTATTGGTCTTTATAGTTCTTTTGCACTTTAATCTGTGTAAAACTTTTAACTTTATACATTTTCTGTATTGCTTTATTGCATTTAAATGTTCAGTTATTTTTGTTATAAGAAAAAAAGTTATTAAACCTGTTATACTGTATTATGACAGCACTTTTTTGTAAACAAAATTTCAATATCGTGATAATACCGTATACCGTAATAAAAGCATTAGCAATTAATCGCAACATGAAAATTTGATACCGGCATATCCCTAATATATATATATATATATATTATTCAGCCTTTAATACACTGCTGATTTCAAGTCCTTACACAAGTCATTTTCATTTTCTTACCAAGAATGCTATGTTGAGAGCAAATATCAGGGACACTGAAATTGGGAATCCCACAAAATATCCCACAGTATGTTAGAAAGAGCACCAATGATTTGCTTTCTATCACCTCTGATAATGCATATACAATAAAATAGCCAACAATTGAAAACAGAGAGAGAGAGAGAGAGAGAGAGAGAGAGAATTTTATTTTAAAAATTCTGGAAAATACAATGAATTATAAAAAATAGAACGAAAAGGTAAAGAAACATACTTTTATTTTTACACAATAATATGTATTCTGTAGTACAAACAGCATTTTTTTTATTACAATCGGATTGTTATAATGGTATAATTATAATTTAGGTTTGTCAAAAGTTAACTGTATGTCATTTATTCAACCTTCAATTAACAGGAGCAGCTGTGGCTGCTTATTTACCCCCACAGTTTTCTCTGGTGGGACAAACAAACGTGTTCACGATAGCGCTACGACAATGGCTCGGGCGTGACAATGCCCAATGTGACAATTGGGCGGGGGGCGGACAATGACATGGGCGTGAATTCCTCTGCTTGTAAACAAGGCACAGAGCATCCAGGTTCTTTGTCAGAATACCAATTCCTGCGTCAGCAGCACCACATGTATGTGTCATGGTAAGATCATGAACGCGTGGTGAAGATTGACACAGAAGAGAAGAAGTTTTGTTTTCTTTGTGCACAAAAAATATTCTCGTAGCTTCATAACATTACGGTTGAACCACTGATGTCACATGGACTATCGTAACGATGTCTTTACTACCTTTCTTGGTAGTCTGGGTAGTTGCGTTGCTGTATATGCAGGGTCAGAAAGTTCTCGGATTTCATCAAACATTTCTTAATTTGTGTTCCAAATATAAACGAAGGTCTTACGGGTTTGGAATGACATGAGGGTGAGTGATTAATGACAGAATTTCAATTTTTGGGTGAACTATCCCTTTAAGAGACCCCAGCAAGTAAAAAAATAATAATAAATAATCACTTATTAATTCATGACTAACATTAGATTGAGGGTTTAGTTGGCAAAATGTTAAAAGGCTAACAGCTTTTTAATAAAGAAGCAAACTAACAAAAGGATAAAAAATGTTATCAATCCACTTATCTGATGAATTTATGATATTTTATTAATTTTAACAATTTAGATTTAGTTACAATGTAACCAGCCCATGTGGCTCCTTCACCAGCCAGGTAGAGTATAAGATAACAAAATATTATTTACTAATGGAATGCAATGCCCTAAAAAAACATTAAACATAATAAAATAATAAGTCCTGGCAGAATGAAGACCAACAGAAATGTTCTGTACCTTCAGGGTTTCAATTAAATTGATATGCTAATACTTGACCCAAATGTCCAGCACACAGCTTGTGTTGTTTATGTTTGTAAAGATACTGAAACCAGTGTAGATGTTCATTTTTCATGTTAAAGGTCATGAAAACAGGCATCTAGGGGAATTTTTTTTATTATCATATATGTAATGCTGCCTAGTTGATACAATTAAATAATAATAATAATAATAACAACCTGATCTGTCATGACTCATCAGAAACCCTTTCATTCAGTTGAATCATCTTCAAATCATCTTAAAGAGTCACACAGTAAACTACAATCTGGTCAAATATTAAATAAAGGAGATCATACTGTGCATGGGAATTAAAACTGTTACATATTGTTACTTGGCCAGTGTCTGAGACTTCACTGACAAGGTAAAACTTATGCATGTATTTATTTTTTTATTTTTGCAGTTTAATTACTAGTGAAAATTGATAAGACACAAGGGCAGAGAAAAGTACATGGGATAGAAACAGGAACATGACGCACCTTTTACAATATGGAACACATGCTCTCACAGACCCAACTTACTCTCTTGTTACATAATTTGTTTACATCCCTTTGATTTGTAATACTGTGTTCTTACCTGAATGATCCACAGCTGTGTTTTTTTGTTTAGTGATACTTGTTCATGAGTCCCTTGTTTGTCCGGAACAGTTAAACTGCCTGCTGTTCTTCAAAAAAATCCTTCAGGTCCCATAAATTCTTTGGTTTTCCAGTATTTTTGTGTATTTGAACCCTTTCCAACAATATAATTCTGAGATGCATCTTTTCACACTGAGGACAACTGAGGGACTCATATGCAACTATTAAAGAAGGTTCAAACGCTCCCTGATGCTCCAGAAGGAAAAACAATGCATTAAGAGCAGGGGGTGAAAACTTTTGAACAGAATGGAGATGTGTGTTTTTTTCTTATTTTGCCTAAATATCATATGTTTTTCATTTAGTACTGCCTTTCAGAGGCTACAGAAGATAGTTACATGTTCCCCAGGAGACAAACTAAGTTAAATTTACCCTGATCTTCAAATTCAAAACGTTTTTCACCCCCCACCCCACCAGGATATAGGTGTGTCACTGTCAAAGTCTACAATCAAGAGAGGACTTCACGAGAGCAAATACAGAGGGTTCAACACAAGGTGCAAACAAGGCCAGATTAGATGTCTACTCTAAAAAAGCCAGACCACTTCTGGAAAGCATTCTTTTGATGGCTGAAATTAAGACCAACCTGTACCAAAATGACAGGAAGAAAAAAAAATATGGAGATGGCCTGAAACAGGTCATGATCCAAAGCATACAACATCATCTGTGAAACATGGTGGAGCAGTGTGATGGCATGAGCATGTATGGCTTCCAGTGGCACTGGGTTACTGGTGTTTAGAGATGATGTGAAAGAGGACAGAAACAGCCGGAGGAATTCTGAAGTGAATAGAGATATACTCTCTGCCCAGATTCAGCCAAATGGACAGCGCTTCATAGTACAAATGGCCGATGACCCAAAACATACAGCAAAAGCAACCCAGGAGTTTTTTAACGTAAAAAAGTGGAATATTCTGCAATGGCAGAGTCAATCTCCTGATCACAACCCGATTGAGCATGCATTTCACTTGCTGAAGACAAAACTAAAGGCAGGAAGACCCACAAACAAACAACTGAAGTCAGCTGCAGTAAAGGCCTGGCAAAGCATCACAAAGGAGGAAACTCATTGCCTGCAAAGGATTCTCAACAAAATATAAAAAATTAATATTTTATTTATGGTTACATTTATTTGTCCAATTACATTTGAGTCCCTGAAAATTGTAAATGTTATATACAAATATATAACATTTTATGGTATATATTTGTTCAACCCCTTAAATTAAAGCTTAAAGTCTGCATCACATCTTGATTATTTTATTTCAAATCCATTGTAATGGAGTATAAAGGCAAAAGCGCAAAAACTCAGTCAGTGTCCGAATACATCCAGACCTGACTGAATATACAGTATATATATATATATATATATATGTCTTAGCTAATAGGATCTCTGTAGTTGTCAAGGTTATTTTTTTTCCCTGCAATGTTTTAAAACAACAGAATGGGAGAAGAAAACACATCTACATCAAATACTATTACATTTGCTTTTTTTTTTTTTTTACATTTTCAATACCTACAAATCCCTGAACTTACTATACTCTGAGAAATCCAGTGAGCACCTCATTTAACACAATCCCTCCAGCTAGTATAAGCAGCATGAAGAAAACCGTAAGTCCTCGACGGACAACCAGCTGTTTGGTGCTCAAAACCGTGCCAACTGTGACCAGTGCAACAGCATTTGTTATTCCTCCTTCTCTTTTACTGAGCCCTTCGAGGTCTGTGTTTGCATCTGTCTGGCCTTCTTCGTTGTGCTGGGACTGCTGTGGTACTTCTGTTCAAGAATGAACAAAAGACAACATAATCAGTCAATAGACAAAGTCCATGATGAAAGACAAATTTATTTATTTCTTGACCACTGAGGTCATCATATAACAGACAGAAACTACCTTCTGTATAGCCCTTATTTTCCATAGCGTAAGATTCATCTTTGGTCTCAGGGACTTGTACACCTGCTCTGATTAAAGCCTGAAAATAAGAAGATAAAGACTGCAGTCATCATCTATCCAAATAGACTATATAGATGTGGATGAAGTAAAATGTCTCACCTCTTGAGTCGCTTTTTTCCAGTCCAGTTTGCAAATGAGGATGATGAAGAACAAGGACTGTAGGAAAACACAGCCAAAAAACCCAATCCAGAGACCTAACAATAAAAAGGTATTCAGCATGGTAATGTTGTTTATTGGCTCAGTTACAGTACTTATATAGAGCAATAGTGTACAGCGTTAAATAGCTCTGTCACTACAAATGGCATCAGGACATAAAGAAACCTGTTATCTACACTCTTGAAAATAATGGTTCTTTATTGGCATCTTTGGTTCAATGAAGAAGCTTTAACATCCATGGAATCTCCACTCAAGAACATTTTAATAATCTGATGAAACTTGAGAAGAAGTTTCATCAGATTATTAAAATGTTCTTCACACCAACAAAAAATATTCTTTTAAGAACTCTTCGCTGAAAAGTTATTTGAGGAATGCAAATAATTATTCTATGACATCGCTAAAAAACACCACTTTTTAACCCTTATTTTTAAGAGAGTACTATGGAAAGGCTTTCAAATTAAAATAAATAAATAAATACATGTCTCTTTTGGTATTCCACGTTTGAAAGAAAATCATAGGGTGAAGCATACATTTTTACAAATTACAGCTTCCTATTTCCAATATTTCAAAATTATGAAGTAGCTTTAATGTAGCAATCCACTTTATTACCAATTATGCCCATGTTGAGAGCAAACATCAGGGACACTCCAATTGGAAATCCCACAAAATAATATCCCACAATGTTACAAAGAGCACCAAGCAGTTGCTTTCCAACACCTCTGACAATGCCACCTGCAATAGCCTACAATCAGAACACATTTGGATGATCAAAAAATGGACAATATCAAAATGGATTCACAATATGTGTGATATACAAAGAGCAGGCCACTTGAAATTAATAAGTCTAATGCTATGAAGCTTTATGTTTCCTTCCCAGTCCATATATCTCCAAACAAAAAGCTTTTAAAAAAATGCTTTTCAAGCATACAAACTTTGTTTAAAGAACATTAATAAACTTACCGAAGTGGCATCAAATAGATGAACAAAGCCATACATGACCATGACCTCTGATACTCTGAGGACAATTTCCCTGCAAGACAGAGAGTTACAGAGCAAAAAAAGCTCTTCTCCATCATTTGTGACCCTGGAGCACAAAACCAGTCTTAAGTCGCTGGGGTATATTTGTAGCAATAGTCAAAAATACATTGTATGGGTCAAAATTATAGATTTTTCTTTTATGCCAAAAATCATTAGGATATTAAGTAAAGATCATGTTCCATGAAGATATTTTGTAAATGTCCTACTGTAAATATATTAAAACTTAATTTTTGATTAGTAATATGAGTGGCTAAGAACTTCATTTGGACAACTTTAAAGGCGAGTTTCTCAATATTTAGATTTTTTTGCACCCTCAGATTCCAGATTTTCAAATAGTTGTATCTCGGCCAAATATTGTCCTATCATAACAAAACATACATCAATGGAAATGATTTATTCAGCTTTCAGATGATGTATGCAACAAAGTTCGTAGTTCGGGAAGAAGGAGGCGGGAACATTCAAAGAAAACTTTAATAATAAAATAAAATAGCGCGACAGCCCCTCGCGGACGACTGTCGCGCACAGAACCAAAACACAAAATAAAGTCCAGGCCTGGTCCTCTCTCCTCTTTCACTGACGTAACTCCTCCTTTTATCCTTCCGGAGCTCCTCCGTGGTACTCGAGACCGGTGAGTGGTGCAGGTGTCGCTCAATATCAATTACTCCACCGGCCTCGCTCCGTTCCCACGTCTCTCGGCCCCACCCCCACTCGTCACATACCCCCATCGCCCCTCGCAGGCTGGGGGGTACTCCCGAGACTGCGCTCTACTCCCCCCTCCCCCCTCCGTGTGTTGCGGGAGAGAGGAAAAAGGAGTTGCCGCTTTAAGACAGCTATGTACGGGAGTTGTAGTCCAGAGTGAGATGCATTATGTGTAATGTAGTTCAGTGTGAAATGTGCTGGAGAGACGTGCCCTCACTGTGTGCTGTGCAGTTGAGAACTGAGGGAGAAAGTTTGTATTCCGCTTACAAGTTAAGTAAAATCAGTCCACACCATAGCTGTTTTGCACTGTGAACATGACAACATGAGAACGAGTAAAAAAAATGGCATGCATCGGTAATTTTGTCTGTCTCTTCCCTTGCACGAACATGAATTGTCAAGCTGTTACGCTGCCACCGGAAATCACTGAAGTGGAGAAAGTAACACTGGGGGCTCGAGTCTGGGATTCGTTCGTTGCAGGTGAGACATACGGACATTTTAAACTGTTAAACCGAACCAGACGTTGTAAGAGAAAAAGTGGAAATGGCGGATACTCGGGAGAGAACGCGAGTGGTGAGAAAACATTCTCATTTAAATACGAGCAGCCTGTGGAATCTTGCGATGTTGGAAAGGACAGAGAATGATGAAAAACGAACACATATATCATTTGTTGACTGGCTAAACGAAATGGATGCTCAAGTGTCAAAGACTGATAATAACAACAAAATCCATTTATTAGTGGGGTGGAAAATGACCATATACATGACAGTGAAATCGATACACAGTGCTACACACAGAGTACTCCAGCAAATTTGAACTACTCACACTCCATATGCACAGATTTAACAGCCAAACGGATGCTTTAAGGCACGCCCACAATAAATCGCCAGCCTTGTAAACATGATGTCTGTGCAGCTCAGCATAGCATTCGTGAGGATGAAGGTAACACTATGTATTCCAAAGTCAATGAGTGTTGTATCCCAGAGCTTACTAGGTCCAGCCAACATGGAAGGAAACCACGTCGGATATTCTGTGACCTGTCATCAGACAGTGGGGAGGAGTGCAATGATCACAGAGAAAGGATCCCCACACTGCGACCAGGTCAGTTTGATGGCTCTACTTCATAGAGAGAATTCTTAAACCGCTTTGAGGATTGTGCCAGAGCTAACCATTGGTCTGAAAGGACAATGACTGTGCAGATGAGGTTTTGTCTAGTAGGCGCAGCAGGTGCAGTGATCCACAAGAACCCCAAATCGATACACAGTGCTACACACAGAGTACTCCAGCAAATTTGAACTACTCACACTCGATATGCACAGATTTAACAGCCAAAAGGATGCTTCAAGGCACACCCACAATAAATCGCCAGCCTTGTAAACATGATGTCTGTGCAACTCAGCATAGCATTCATGAGGATGAAGGTAACACTATGTATTCCATGTCAATGAGTGTTGTATCCCAGAGCTTACTAAGTACAGCCAACGTGGAAGGAAACCATGTCGGATATTCTGTGACCTGTCATCAGACAGTGGGGAGGAGTGCAATGATCACAGAGAAAGGATCCCCACACTGCGACCAGGTCAGTTTGATGGCTCTACTTCATCGAGAGAATTCTTAAACCGCTTTGAGGATTGTGCCAGAGCTGACCATTGGTCTGAAAGGACAATGACTGTGCAGATGAGGTTTTGTCTAGTAGGCGCAGCAGGTGCAGTGATCCACAAGAATCCCAGGTCCAGCCGTTGGGATTATGCCCGCATAGTAGAGGAAGTGGAGGCTGCATACGGTCCTTCATCCGAACACGCTGCTGCCATTGGAATAGAGCTGAGGCAGAAGGTCCGCAGGGCAGGTGAGCCACTCCATGTGCTAAGGGACGACATTTATGAAAAAGTCTCCATTGCTTATGCAGATCGCTCTGAGAGGGAACAGGACTCTATTAGTGTCGAGGTGTTCACTAATGCCACGCGAGATGCCGATATCGTGCAAAGATTGCTGGAAGAGCGACCACGTACCCTGGCCCACGCCTATGAGATTACACACAGGTATCCTATCTCACTGGTAGGTATTTCAGGGTGGCTTGGGGAGGGGAGGTATCCAAAGCACATCAACTTGTCACTGGGATTCCTCAGGGATCAGTTCTTGGACCCCTCCTCTTCTCCATATACACGACATCACTGGGTCCCATCATACAGGCACATGGCTTCTCCTACCATTGCTATGCTGATGACACACAGCTCTATCTTTCATTTCAACATGACAATCCAATAGTAGCTCCATGGATCTCAGGCTGCCTGGGAAATACCTCGACATGGATGAAGGAAAATCACCTGCAGCTCAAACCGGCAAAGACTGAGTTTCTTATTTTCCCTGCCACTCCGACTCTACAGCATGATTTCATCATCCTGCTAGGTTCATCAAAAATTATTCTTTGGTGACCAGCTGACCTTCAAGGACCATGTTGTAAAGACAGCTCGATCATGCAGGTTTGCATTGCGCAACATCAGGAGGATCAGGCCCTTCCAAACAGAGCATGCTGCACAACTTCTTGCCCAGACCCTTGTAATTTCTAGGCTGGATTATTGCAATGCTCTTCTGGCTGAACTTCCATCATGCGCAATCAAACCTCGACATAATAATTCCAAATGCAGCGGCATGACTGGTCTTCCATGAGCCCAAAAGGGCCCACTTCACTCCTCTCTTTATCTCCCTGCACTGGCTACCTGTTGCAAAGTTCAAGACATTGATCTTTGTGTACAGAACAGGCTCAGCACCCTCCTACTTCCTTCTCACTCTTACTAATCTACATCCCCTCCAGAAGCCTGAGATCTGCAAGTAAGCGATGTCTCGTGGTAAGATCACAGAGAGGCATTTTCGTTCACCTTTCCTGGCTGGTGAAATTATCTTCCCACAATCACAGTAATTAACAGAACACCCGACACATTATCTGACAGCAACACTAATTTAAATCGATACACAGTGCTACACACAGAGTACTCCAGCAAATTTGAACTACTCACACTCGATATGCACAGATTTAACAGCCAAAAGGATGCTTCAAGGCACACCCACAATAAATCGCCAGCCTTGTAAACATGATGTCTGTGCAGCTCAGCATAGCATTCGTGAGGATGAAGGTAACACTATGTATTCCAAAGTCAATGAGTGTTGTATCCCAGAGCTTACTAAGTACAGCCAACGTGGAAGGAAACCACGTCGGATATTCTGTGACCTGTCATCAGACAGTGGGGAGGAGTGCAATGATCACAGAGAAAGGATCCCCACACTGCGACCAGGTCAGTTTGATGGCTCTACTTCATCGAGAGAATTCTTAAACCGCTTTGAGGATTGTGCCAGAGCTGACCATTGGTCTGAAAGGACAATGACTGTGCAGATGAGGTTTTGTCTAGTAGGCGCAGCAGGTGCAGTGATCCACAAGAACCCCAGGTCCAGCCGTTGGGATTATGCCCGCATAGTAGAGGAAGTGGAGGCTGCATACGGTCCTTCATCCGAACATGCTGTTGCCATTGGAATAGAGCTGAGGCAGAAGGTCCGCAGGGCAGGTGAGCCACTCCATGTGCTAAGGGACGACATTTATGAAAAAGTCTCCATTGCTTATGCAGATCGCTCTGAGAGGGAACAGGACTCTATTAGTGTCGAGGTGTTCACTAATGCCATGGGAGATGCTGATATCGTGCAAAGACTGCTGGAAGAGCGACCACGTACCCTGGCCCGCGCCTATGATATTGCACACAAGTATGAAACCACACGTCGAACAGCCACTAGTGTAACGCAACTTATGCAATCTGCCGTAAGGCCGATGGAATGAAAGACTAGAGCAGCAGCAGTATGTGAACGTCCAGACCAGAGTGGAAGTGACGAGGAATGTTCGGTGCCGTCAACCCCTGAGTGGAGACAGAAAAATTCAAAAGCAGAATTCAAACTTCGTCTGCAAAGATTCAACAAGAGGAGTAAAATCAATTGGGAAGAGATTGTCTGTCACAACTGCCAAGGTATTGGTCACATGAGGCGGAACTGTCCTTCACCCAGGCTCAACCTGGAACGTGTGACTCCACCACTTCATCGGCCTACAGAGACCCAGCCTGCCTCCACAGTTCTCAGAGTCAAGGGGAGTGGGCCAGAAATGTGCATTCATCTGCTGTTGTATGACATGGAAGTCTGTGCCCTGTTGGACAGTGGGACCAGGAGGAGCGTGTTACCTCGGCTCTGTTATGAAACCATCAAGCCTGATGTAAGACCCCCACTCAAGCTATCCACTGTACAGGCCCTGCAGGGAATAAG